ATACCGGGCGGTGGATGTCGGTGGATTTTCGATGCGCTACGATGAGCTTTTGATGCGTGTAGATTTCTGGAGGAATGGGAGAGCAAATGGGCGGATCCGAAAGTCGAGTTTGCACGCTGTAATTTTATAAAATTTCGTGATCGTGAAGAGAATGGAAATGTAATTTGGAAATGGTGTTTGAATGAAGAAAATGATAGATGTGATAAGTTCTTCAAATTCAATTTTAATAATAAATTGTGAATTTGAAAACTTTAGTATTTGGGATAAAAGCGAAAACGAAAAGTGAATTTAATCCAAATTAATTTATAATTAATTTATAGAAGAAATTCAAGCTAGTTAAGAATAAATATTTCATATTATATAGTTTTTATATTTGATATTAAAATTGATAAATTTTTATAATAAAAGAATTATATAACTGTTTTCTAGCTTTCTCTATATTTTTATTACGTTTTAAAAGATTATTATTTACATTATGATATAATATAGTAATATTTATTTATATATAGAAAAAAATTTACTTAAAATAATCTTTGATGTATTAAAAATAGATTAATATAGATAATATAGAGATTTATTTTTTAAATTTATAATTTGATAACGTTGAAATAATTATAAATATAATAAAATGAATAAAACTGATGAGTTTTAACTATAATATAGTTACATATCTTTACAAAATGAAATGTTATACAAATAGTGAAGTTGTTCTTTTAGAAATAGCTATAATTATGACATAATTACACACATTACTCTTATTTATACAAATTTAATACAAATTTCTTTTTAGATTCATATTTCGCATATTCCAGTATATAAACTGAGATAAATATTTTTCCATATATTCATTTAGATGTACATTCATGAACATTTTCGTTTTTCATTTTGTATTTCTTCACATCTATATCTTCTGTCTTTTATAATACAGATTCTTTCATTATTCCTTTCATTACTTTTGAATATAAAAACTATATAATTTTTATAAATATGAATATATGCTGAATAATATATATATGTATAATATATGTATCATTTTAATTCATAAAGATAAAGATACGTCAATACTTTTTCGATTCTTTATAAACCAAGAATCATCTAATCACAACAATAAGCTAAAGGAATGAGCTGAATTTCAGTAAACGTTGTCCGTTCCTCGCTAAATTTGAGCCACGGAATTTCACATGATATTCGACGAAGGCAAATTCGACGCCAATTCCGGGTGTTCTTGCGCGTCCCATGGGACTTTCAAATGAAACAGCGTCCATGCGCGCACAGGCCCTCGGTCTTTAGCTTCCTGAAATAGTTGGTGAAATAGTACACGCCCCTGCCCGAGTAATAAACTCAATTCCACATACTTAACAGGCATACCATGTCTGACACCCTCGACCATGTCTTCGAGCTGCTTGTTGTTAACACGTGAAATACCATGCCAACATCTCACGTTAATTAGGAATTTTGTAGGATACGATATTGTCTTGTATTTGGATCTGGTTCTTTTCAAAGAAAAATTTATATTTTTAGATAGAGGTATTGGCAGGATTAAATCTTAAATATTAATTTAAATCTTAAATATATAGTTTTACATTCTCTAAGTTTTGATTAAGATTATGGAAGTAATATGAGAATAAAAATCACAGAGAAAATTGAAAAATATATATTAGAAAATTATAATTAAGATTTATATTTTAGCAATATGGATATGCATTAGATACATGGATATGCAAAGAAAAAAAAATTATTTTTTAATATTTTTGTGCAAATTTGTCTTCTTTTTTTAATAATCTTTAATCCAACTTGTTTAAATGTAATAATATTATTTATTTATACTTTATTAGTGAAAATTTATGATTTAAATTGGAAAGTAATTGAGGATAATTATAATATTTTAGAATATTTATAGATAATATTTATAAGGCAATAAAGAATATTATTTCTTTTTTTGCCAGTTATCAAAATATAATGCATAAGGATATTTAAAGAATCCATCAAAAAATAATGTATATATTTGACCTTATTCTTCCCTATAACTGATGGATTCATAAAAAAAAAAGCAACCCTTGCTCAATTCCAATCATAAAATCCATTTTATTATCTGAGAATATCTATAGGAATCATGCAATAATGTAATTGATATTCTATCAAAAAATAACCTATTTGTTCTTTTTTTCTATTCATTAAATATTTCTATTCATCAAATATATATAATCAACTTAAACAAAAAAAGAATATAATAGAAGATACAATAATCTAATTATCTATTAAGTATCATATATCTGAAAATAATTTATCAAAAAATAAGTAAATAAATAAATAACAAATCTTATCGTTGACAAATTATATAATAAAATATCATGAATAATAATAAAAAAAAAGAGATTTTTTATATTAATGTCTCAGAAAAAAGCAGATCACTCTGAAACACGGTAAGCAAAAATGTGGAAACATGGCGTTCACAATGGGGCAATGATATCTTTATTGTCGTTCTAATGTCTGTCATAAAGCGCGTCCGGCCTGGCTTTACGATGGCTACGTGTGGTAATTGAAAATCGTGTCCAGCCTCGTTCTGTTTCACGTGTTCGTAATGAACCGTTCAAAACACGCGACGGCGAATTGCGAACCATTCGCGCGATACGCGCCTCGATTATTGAAAGCACAGGCCACGGATTGGAAGTCGTTACACTTTGTTCGTCGTCGATCGCTACTTGATTTCCGTTGGAACCAAGTTTTCACGTTTTGATTGGATTCATCAATTAAATCGTTAAGATTTAATTGATTCGATTATAGAACATTCTAGTATCATTAATATCTTAAGTGGAGAATAATTAAATTTTTTAAGAACAAAGATACTTTAATCTATTAAATATATATATATATCATTTTTTAATATTTTAATAGCATAATTACATTATTTTTTGAATAAATTTTTTAAAATTTTTCTTTTTTAAATAATATTATAATAACTAATTTATTAGTTTAAGAAAGAATAGATAATTGTGTCTATATTTTATAGGAAATAATATTTGGATTAAATTATACTTTTATAATTCAAGGAAATATTCTATTTTATCAATGAATTATGATATAAAATTTGAATTGTCAAACTATTAGTTAAATAATATATTAATAATATTAAAAACATAAGTCTTAAATATATTTTTTCCTAAATTTTGTTAAAATTTGTTTTACATTTTTCATATTCGAATATTTTTATAAAAATTCAAGTAAAGCTGTGGCTAGTGGAAATAGGGAGAAATAATAGAAGCATCACCGTGCATATTTGTTCTGTAGCGTAAAAAACACAGGAAGCTGGATGTATTTTTGGAATGCAGTCATTAATGGATACTAGGAAATGTGTGTACGCGGGCATGTAGCAGTGCCGTCTACGTCAAGCACATTCGCACGGTTGGCAGTAACATGTGTCAAATGTTAGACGGTTCTGAAAATGTGTTTCACGTAATGCTAATAGCCAAATATAGGTTTGCTGAAATTACATTTTGCCAATTTGTCAACGATTTTGAATAGTTAAAAAATCATTTTATCAAAAATAGCTAAATTTTTCACATTGGAATAAAAAAATCTCAATGAATATTATATTTTGAAGAATATTGATATATTTGTATACGTTTGATCCTTATTTATATTAATCTGATACTTAAAAAAATTTTTTCCATATTATTTAATATATTTTATACTTAAATATGTAGTGAATGTTATTGAAAATATAAATTAATTTATATAATTATCATTTTCAAATCTCAATATATTCATTCTTGAAGAAATTACAATTTTTTCGATAAAAATATATAATATCGAATAATTCTATATTGATATTTCTTTAAAAAATAAAAAATAAACAATATATGATTAGGTTTTATTTCAAACAAAATTTTCTCTTAAAGAAATTTTATGATAAAGACTTAAATTTTTCGAAATAATTAAATCAATCACTATTATATATTTCAAATATCGCGGGCGTTAGATAGTTCGAATCCGAAGTCTCTTCGGATCCTTTCGTGTCTGTTCGGGTGTTCTCGGCGCAGGATGGCGCGAGCAGTAACGAAAAGTCACGCGCAACTAATATGTCATTGTCTCGTGCATAATAAAATATTATTGCGTATAATAAAGTGTTTATCGTGAATCGTTTTGCTTCGAGGTATATTTTCAATCTCAAGCTATCATCCAACATCAATCATCATATATATATGTACGTAAAATATCTGCTTTCTTTGATTTAATAATTTTCCGTGCTTAGTAATATTTCTATTTCCACTTATTTCTCTTGTTATACGAACAGTTCATTTTACTATATGACATAAATTCGCCTAACCTTGAGCCATAACCTCGAGATCATAAATAATCAATTAAGCTGACTGCCAGAGATGGAACATCAATACAAAGACACGTTGACACATTTCACGATTTCTGTCTGCAGGTCTGCGGGAAGGTGTTCAACAACGCATCGGCGCTCACGAAGCACAAGCTGACGCACAGTGACGAGAGGAAATACGTGTGCACGATGTGCGGCAAGGCGTTCAAGCGGCAGGACCACTTGTGAGTACAGATGAACACAATTCGCCTCTTTTCTGCGTCAATTAATCAACGTTAATGTCGTGTTTCTTGCCTCAGTTATTTCAAAAAAATGAAATACTGCAAATGATAATTCTACATTTTTTTTCTTTCATTTAAAAGCTCTCTGTTTCTTTTCAATCATGATTTTCTCTTTTGTGTCTTTGAGTGAAACGGTTCCATTTAAAAATCGAAAGCTTTTCGTTTACGTTTTCCAAAGCTTCTCAAGGAATAGATGCTGGTTAAGAGCGTGGTTTCCTGAAATTTGTATATTACATAATATTATAGAATAGTTGTTTTACTGCTTTGTGCACTCGACAAGGGGATTGTTTTTGATACACGATTCATCTTGCCATATGAGTGAGCCATGGCTTGAGAGTTATTCTCTAAGTCGGATTTCAAGAGCTTATGCTTTTGTTATGAAAACGTTGCGGCTCACGATTGCTGCCAAATAAATGCTAAGTTGGATTGGTGATAAAAAGTTTTATGTATTTGATAAATCAAAATTTATTAGAAACAGACGCAATTTCTTAAATTAATATAATATAATAAAAATTTTAATAAAAATTAAAATAATACTTTGAATTTTATCTAGTAATTTTTATTAATAAACACTCGTCTTTCTCTTGATTGATATTAGATTTAATTTTCTTTCTGCCAATTTATAATAATATTTCTGAGTGATCTATCCTTGTATCTTTAAATTTTTCAATCTTCAATTCTTTCAATTCTTAAATAATTAAATGTTTTGAGTCTTAAAGTCTTCGAATCTTTGAATTTCAAATTCTTTTGACTATTAACTTTTTGAATCTTCAAACTTAGAGAACTTTCAAATTTATGACTCTTTATATATCTATAGAATCATAAGATCGATAAAGAAAAAATTTAAAAGACAAATTCAACGCATTTGTTACTATTTCTCGAATTAAATAAACATTTTGAGACGATTCTTTGTAAAATTTGTACGAACGGTGAAGAGAAAAGTAACGATAGTGCGAAAAGAGAAAGACCTTCACAAGAATCGCAAGAATTGAAGATTCAATTCTTCTCAAGAACGAGAAAAGGAGAATAAAGAAGAATCAATAGTGGCAGCGATGGTTGCCAGTCTTGGTCAGACTTGTTGGCCGGTCGGAAAAGATTAGACTTGTATTTCCTTTTCCAAATCCTCTCTTCGTTCCTTCCACTTTCTCGATGCTTCTTCCTTTCTCCTTATTCGAGATTCGCCACATACCTTGGCCACGTTTCCACTCGGACAGTAGTTTTCCTTTCTGCCACCCTCTCGAGCCCTCTCTCCGTCACGTTCAACTCGGCTTTGCGGTATTACTCGCGATTCATTGAACGCTTTGTCAGAAACTTATTGATACCGCATTGAAACCGTTGCTTCTCGTGCTTAGGATATTTATTAATTTTCTTTGCCCGATGGATTGAGATCTTATTATAAATTCCTTCGGATACTACTTTATTACTGCTTTACGTTGCTACTTATTAAATTATAGTAACTTTTAAGATAATCTGTAAATAATTTGAGTTTCTTATTTATTTATTAAATTAACCATGAATGCTAAAGCTTTTTATTATCCCGACAGAATGCTTATTTTCTTATATCATTCATTTTCATATACTTGGATTTTATCGTAATGCTTATTGGTGATATTGATAAAATTTATATAAATTTCTTTCGAATAAGTAATTATATAAGTAAGTAGTTTGCAAATAATTTGAATATAGCAATTTTTCTAGGTTTAAGAATTCAATGATACAATTAGGTTCAAAAATATATAATAAAAGAAAGTTTATCTTTAATAAAAGTTAAAGTATAGATAGAAATATGATTTTTATATAACATAAAGAAATATATGCAATAAGCTATAAATATATTAATGCATATTTCGATTAGTAATTAAATTTATTTTTCGTCAATCATCAATTATTATTTTATAAGATTTCCTTCACAGAAATTACAATTTCTTTCACAGAACATTACAATATCTCTTTCCTCTTTCTTTCTCTCTTTATTCGTTTTTTTAAAATATTTTCTCCTTTTCTTTGTTTTCACGTAGAAATGTATATCGTATCTTTAACGATTCAACAAGCGGAAGAAATATCGTTTCATAAAATTTTTCTAAAGAGTTTCTTTAAACTCCATAGATATTCCCTCCAACAATATCTTTTTCTTTCGTGACGTTTCATTTCTCAAGATTCTTCGATAATTTCATGGAAATTTCTTAAGATCGCTCATTTTTTTAAAACAATGTTACTGAACAACATTAACTGAATCACTTTTTTAGAATAATTAATATTATTTTCTTTATTTTGTTTCTTATTGCTTTGTTCCAGAAGTTATAATAACTTTATAATTTCACAAAAACAAATAATTAAAATTAAAACTTATCAAAAATTAATATAACTCATAAAATAATATTATTATAATAACATTTTCATTTCATTTAATTATGATTATTTCAACGTTTCTATTAAACTACATCTGTGATGTTGTATATTTAGAATATAATTTTCATAATTTTATGAGAATTTTTCTTACTTTAATTTATATCTACATTAACAATATAATGTTAAATAATGTTCTTAGTAATTGAGCTTATATTTTAAGAATCTAATTTAATGAGAAATCTTTATAACTGGAAATATCTTTGTATCCGCGTCGAAATCGCCACAATTTTCTTTTGTGCTTGGTTCTGTCAGGGCTACGTGCACTGGATTCGAGCAGACTGTATTTTTCTTTTCCTCGATCTTTCCACCATGTCACCTTCGTTTTATGTACGTATTTCATTCGATAGGGTCGCTCAACACCCTGCTCAATACGAGTTGACGAACAGCCTGAAGAATTACTTTCGTTTCATCTCTCGTCCCCTAGAATTTCTTTCCCTTTTTGTCGTTCTTATTTAGTTCAAATGCATCGTCTCATCTATTGTTCCTTTTCAAGCTTCTTTCGTAATTCAAGATTCTTCGATTGATCGAGGAATACTCATTGAATTTAATATATATTGGATTTTGAATTGCAATTTAATTAAAATTTGGTTCTTATTATTTTGAACAATTTTATTTGGAAAGATAAAAGTTATCTTAAGTAAAATATTGTGAGTTCAAATTGCAGATAATTTTCAAAATAATTTTATAATCATGTTATACAAGCATAATAATTTTTCAATAAAGAAATATTTTTATTTTTTTAATTAGTATTTCTATTACAAGCTTATATAAATATATATATCTAAGTAATTAATGTATATCTGTTATATTTTTGTAATGAATGGCTATTAATTTTTTATAGTAACTTGGTTAATTTAAATACAAATAATATTTTTGAACATTTTTTTATTATAATATATTTTAAGCTCGTTTAAAAATATTTTATAATAATAGAAATAGAATAAATTTTAATAAATTGTATATTTGAAAAAATCACCAGAAAAATAAAATATTTTTTAAGAAATCTTTCACAAATAAATTAGAGATTTTGCAAAATCATATTGCAAAATATAAAAATTGATTTCATTCATAGAAATATTTATTTCATTCTTTAAATATCATAATACATATTATATATTCTATTTCTATATTCAAATTTGCATAAATGCATAAATATCCCTTTTCTGTTTACAAAATAATAAAAATTAACGAAGCAATATTTTCTCATTCAGATATTCTATTTCAACTCCATTCTTCGCTTGAAAATTTCTTTTGAGAAATCTTTCGCATTAAGATTTTTTTAATTCTAACAAGCTAAACGCTTATACAAGAACAAACTCGATTTCAAGCATTTTGCCGTGCGAGCATTCCATTTGGCTTGCGTCCATAAAAATTTCCTTACTTGGAAACTCGTTTTTAAGAAAGCATATGCCAGGATTCGAGTAAACGATGTGGACGACTTTATCCGATCAGAGAAAAAGTCCTTAGCCTGTTTCCCGTTTTTATTGAAATCTTTTTAACCTCGGATAGAACCTCGAAAAGACGAGGGGCTTAAGTATCTAACTCTGTTCATAAAAAGTCGTAAAGAATTGCGCTCTCCCTCCTTTTAAACTTTCCTAGCATATTATATATATATAGAGCCACGAAATTTTAACACGAATGGCGAAAAGTAAGATTCGCAATAATTTACTGAATCGTATTCTTGGTCTATAAAGCCGACATTTAAACCTAGCCGGTACAGTTCACAAGTGGAGCAACGTCGTTAAACTGCTTTCTAAACTTGATAGCGAAGAGTTAAAAGGAAATTGTTGTGTAATGAGTTCAAAATATCAATAACCTTTTTATGCGCGTTAAGAATACAACTGTTCAGGGATAGAATATAATATAGAATTTAGAATATAAATTGATAAAGATTAAAACAATTATTGATTGAATGAGACAATTGCTTTTTAAATGCAATAGTGATTGCATTCAAAATATCAACTTTCTTTTTTGTACATGCTATATTTCAAAAATATATAAAAATATATTTCTTGCTAATGGCTGAAGCTAAGTTGTAATTGATTAAAACATTTTTGATTAATGATATTTGTTTAAATAACTTTCAAGTGTTGTAATGATACTTTGTATAGAATTCAAGAAAATAAAGTAGAATTTAATTTGACCTATATTTTTAGTATGTAAGATGTTATTAAAAATCTTATAAAAAGTTAGACTTGCATATATTATTTTTTCTGAAGTGGTTCCAATACAATTTGCATAAATTGAATTTTTATTTATAGATAATCAATAGATAAAATAACGTTATTAACATGTTAAATAGATTATTAAATTAAGAAATCATATAATTTAAATACTTATTTTTTAGAAAAATAAAAAAATAAAAAAAATTTTATAAAAGTATTTTGATCTTTGCTTTTAATTATTAATACTAGAATCTATTTTGCAGTAAAGATTAAATAATAATAATTTATTTTGCATTGTTTAAATACATCTGATAATAATTTTATAATGAATTTTTAAATGTCTTCAGTGAATATGATGCGTTAAAAAAT